GGTTGCCTAATAAACACAATTTTGGGCTTATAGTCAAAACAAACCTTATTCAATAACCAATTATTGCATTGTTAACATACACAGTTAGCAATATACAACTATAAATACTTATCCCTACAAGTGTCTTCAAAACACAAGCAAACACAAACCCACATCAAGCAAAGTGGTTTATCAAATTGAATTCACCGGAGTCTAGAAGAATGAGGTTCAGAGAGTGCTGTGGCGGTGGTGCAAAGATCCATAGAAAGCTATGATGTTCTCAGATCTAATGTGATTAGGAGAAACGTCGTCACCCAGAGAGTAATGAGTCTGTGGAATTTATTATGACAGAAAGTGGTTGAGCCAAAACATTCTGTTTTCGATGAAGCAGTAGATAAAGTTCTTGTGGCTATAATGGGGCTTGGGTGGGTGGGGGTGGTGGGATTAGGGTACTGAGCTCAATAATTATCCATGATCATAATGAATGGCAGAGTAGGGTCCTGTTCTGATCTTCTAGGCTTCCATGCAAGATTTCTCTGCAGGGATTGGCCAAAGTCTTTCTTCCACCCAGAAAGCCAATGGCTTGTTCATGAGGACAAAAGGATACACAGTGTACAATGTTCCAGAGTATGTTGTTACTCTAATATTCTGCCACCTGTGGTCAACCCATGCACACAGACACAACTTACTCAGTAAATACAATCTTGAGATTTCTTTCTGAAGAAAAAAATAGGTGGTGAACTGGTGGAGAGGATTTTCTTTTAAAAATGGAAGATCTTCTGGGTAGCTCGTCTCGAGCAGGCACCCAGTCAACTCAGCTGGTTCTTAGCAGGTTTCCCTGCACCTGAACCAGATAAATACAAGAACCTTTTCAAAGCAGTCACCGTTCTAAAAAAGGCCCAGCAGCAGACGACACTAAAGTAGGCAGTTATCACCAGTCATGTGATTTCTAGAAAGTCTTGAAACATCATATTAGATGACAAATTGAATTTAGAACAATGAAATTAAAAATTAAGCAGCTCTCAATGGTACTATCGTCATTTTTTATTATGAAATACAAAGTCATAAAACGAAGCTGAAGTTAATGTGACTTAAATAATTTGATTCAACACAATGATTGAACAAAGAATTTGAAGTTTATCTAAGAGAGATAATATCACCTTGTTTTGCAAGACAATTCAAACTTTTTTTGGAATAATAATTTACTATGATGCAATTGTCTTTCCATGCTTAAAATGTAATTAAATTAACTAATTCGATTGTGTCTGGATGTCAAAACCTCCGGTTTCAGAGTAAATACCTTGCATTTCTCTCACTGATAGGAAGTTTGGTACTCGCACTTGTTAATTGAGGTAGTTTATGTGTCATAATTAGAGTCAATTTAGACACATTGCAAATAAATTCATCCCTAATTTCAAACTTAAGACAATCTTTCTTAACACCAAGATGCGTTTATTTAGGACATTTTACATCACTGCAGAGTTAATCCTGAATTAACTCTGCACAGCTTATGATGATAGAACTGTACTAACAAAATATAATCATCAATGTACAACAGCTATCATAGGTTTGGAGTGGTAGAAAACACAGCATAGAACACCACGTAATTCCACATAATCCACTGCTTTCTTTTTAAATTCAGCCATCTGGTCTGTTCCCATTATCTGACAGATCCCCAGAATCATTACAGTGCAGGGGAGGCTATTCGGCCAATCATGTCTGTACTTCCTTTAACGTCATTCTTCTGCCTTTCCCTTGAATTTTGCCCATTCTTCCTTTTCAACTAACAGTCCAAATCCTTTTGAGTGCCTCAAAAGCACCCAACATAATTTAAGTTTAAATACCAATTTTGTTTCATGTTATTATCACTGTTTTACACTCACTAATGAAGTTTTCAACATTAACTTGCATGTGAATTCTTTTAATTCAAACACTACCACCTCCTATCAATCTACCTGTGCCAATTCTGGCTTATGCCACCTTGTTACATATACACCAGTGGAACTATCGACTAAACACCAAGATATTCCATCATTTTTCACAACTTCATTTGATATCCTCTTAGTCTGGAATGCTCATGTTAGAAAAAGGTCCAGCTTTTGAAATCTGTCTTGATTGTTACACTAATATCCCTGGCATCTGTCTAGTAAACTTCGCGGACATTCCTTATATGATGCAGTCAGAACCACACACAATTCACTATGGCTAAAAGAATGCTAACTACAATTATTCTTGTATTTTTTATTATTTAACATCCCTGCATATCAAATACTGAATCAACTGGCCTTTAAGGACTGTATATTACACTCCTATATCTGTGTTTTCCCAAACTTGAGAATTATGAGATTCACATCAGCATAGCTTTTATTCTAGTTTTCCCAAAATATATTTCATAATTCTCTGCATGGAAGTACACCTGCCCCTTTAAAATAGAAATCCTATTTTGACAAATTCTGCAAAATGCTGACTTTGGTGGTTGGCTGACGGAAGTCACATCGAAGATCAGACTCCAAATGATCTTCATTGGAAACCCTCCCTTTTAGATTACAATAGGTGCTTTTAAGCTTGTTTAATTGTCATATTAGACATAATCATTCAGGATTCCATGTGAAAACCATCACCATTTCTAAATTGTTGCCCCCAAGTTCAGAATATTACTATTGCTTCAGATGAGAACAACCTCTCTCAATGTCAGCAAAACTAAAGAACCGATCATTGACTTCAGAAAGAAAGGAAGAGAAGACACTCCCCTCTACATCAACTGAGCTGAGGTTGAGAGTTTGGAGAGCGTCAAGTTCCTCGGAGTGACAATAACTGATGACCTGTCCTGGACTTCCCATGTAGATGCAACGGTTAAGAAGGCACAACGTCCCTTCTTCCTCAGGTGGCTCAGGAAATTTGCCATGTCCATAAGGTCCCTCATCAACTTCTAGAGATGCATCATTGAAAACACACTGTTTGGGTGCATAATGGCCTGGTATGGTAAATGCCCAAGACTGTACAAAACTACAGAAGGTGGTGTGCTCAGACCAGACTATCATGGAAGCCAACCTCCCTCTCATCCATGGGCTCCATTTACACAGTTCGTTGCCGCAGAAAGGCTGCCAACATCAAAGACTCATCACACTCTGGTAATGCTCTCCTACAACCTCTTCTGTCAGGCAGAAGATACAGACACTTGAACACACGCACCATCAGGTTCAGAATAGCTTCTTCGTGGCCAATATTAGACTGACGAATGGACTCTCCAACTTCAAATAATGCTAATCCTGCCAATGTTGATCTTGCCTAGCACACGCCTTGTGCGACATAACCTGTATGCTTCTAAGCTTTTTCTTACCCTATGATCTGTATGCCCTTGCTGTGATCTGCCTTTACTGCTTGTAAACAAAACTTTTCACTGTACTTTGATTTGATTTATTTATCATCACACGTATTTAAGATTAACCATCGCGCTAAGCCCCAGTGATTGCTACACAAAAAGCAATTAATGGTATATGTATTGACAGGATCTAATAAAACTTCAAATGAGCCAAAGCTTAAACAAGTATGCAGGGCAAGTACAAGTCTGAGTGGACTGAAAATAACTACTTGTTCTTCCCTATTCCAACTTTTCAATACCCAGTCAAATGAGAAAGATGAGTGAAGACAGGAGGAAGATGTGTTAAGATTCTTAATATTCAAAACAGCCATCTTTATTCGTAACTTTTCATGGAATTTAAAAAGAGTACTAAAGACTATTCAAGAATATAGGGACAAGTGGGTAGCAGGGAGCCAAGTGGTAATGGTATGGGGACAGTTGAGCCTAGGTACACAGACACAATTACTACAGTCTCATCACACAAATGAAGATCACCAATTGAGCACAGATGTAGAAGTCATGTTGAAACGATGCTACTCATTGTTTAAATACAGTCATCTGAAAGCTAAAATATGCAAGAGCAAAACACTCCATTTGACGGAAATCTGAAAATGTAAACAGAAAACGCTAGAAATAATCCACTACTTGGTCAACACCAGTGGAAAAAATGTTAGTCAACGTTTGAAGACATCAGACCTCTCCTCAGGTTTAATATTGTAGGTGGACAGAATCTAAAAAGGCTAGGGTTAAGTGGAGAATTGCAAGGGAAAGTACAGGTAAGTGGTCTTTGATTCTCTACAATGTTTCCAATCAAGCTCAAGGTAAAAATGAGGGGCTGTTCCTCACTTTTAATAGCTCTTTGATTTTTTCATTGACTATGGTTCACATCTCCTCACCAGCAAATACAAATTCCATGGCTTAAGTGCACTGACACTTTGTGATTTGGTATTGAGGTGAGGATGGAGGAGAGGAAAAAAAGAACAATGATGTTCAGGGATGCAGTCAAGTCAAATCATCTATTCAGTGGCTTCCTCCGATTCAGTCGACTCCAACTTTTGACTGATGCCCATCAGTCTACCTAGTCTCCTTGAGCTAGTTATACATTGCTGCATCTCAAACTTTTAAAAAAGTTTTTGGTTTCTCTCACGACTCCAACTTTTATTTGGAAAATCTACTTTAGGGTACAAAAACAATCAATCAATCAGTAAATGGAGCTAGAATATGCGCTCAGCGATGTTCTGTTGAATGGCAGAACAAGAGAAGGGCTGAATGGCCTACTCTTGCCCTTGGTTTCCTCCTTTCATCTCCTGCTAAGACAATGCCTGCCGTTTAATCAAGATTCATCCTTCATCCTTTTCTGGCATTTGCACGTATTATTTCTTCTTGGTCTATTTGTGTACTTTTTTTAATGCTAACAAATCAAGTTCATTTTGCTTGGATTAGAGTTGGCCAATGTGGAGGGTGGACAAAACAGCCTATTGTTTACATTGAGAGTCACTTTAAAAAAGGACATTTTCAGAATGGCTTTAGAATCTTTATGTACAGTATGGAACAGTGACAAAAGAACAAGGAACAATTGAATGAATGTCAGATATAGCAATTAAAATGGATTTCTAGCAGGCACAATGTTGTTGAATATTTCAGCATACATACAATTTACCTTGCACTGGTTCTATACGCTTTGGCAAGTCCAAAGTATCAAAGTTTTTGTCAGCATCTGCATTTCTTTTACCTGAGCGAGGAAAAGATAAGCAAAGAAAGACAGTTACCAGACTGATGTCATTTTAGAGAACAATCACATTAGCAATTAAGATATTTTGAACTCAATACACCACATCTAACCAACACTAAAAAGGTCAAAGAATCCCATGCAAAGGTTAATGCTCTATTATATTCTCTCTCTCATTTCATGTTAAAACTGGAGGTTTTGGGAGTAGGCCTTGAGCCAGTGCTGCCATTCAATTAGAACGTGGTTTATTTCTAATTCAATGCAATTTGCTTACCATTGCTCCTCAATAAATTTGCTCAACAAACAATCGATCAAACTCCAACTTGAAATGCTTATTCAAGTTGATCTCAAAAAGCACTGCGATTACAAGAGGAGGTCAAATGAAGTATTGTGGCAAATAACACCTCCAGACTTGTCAGGTGACATTCTACCATCGATGAAATTCAAAGCAGAACTGGTATAGAGTACTTGCCTGGCCGTGCGAAGCTCCAAAACTCAAGAAATTAGGCACTACTCAAGACAAAGCAGTCCACTTGATTGGCATTCCACCCAACAGTTCCCTTCTATGTTTTGAGATGTGATACCTCGTAGATTTAGTTATCACATGTACTAAGTATAGAAATACACAAGTACGGCAAAAAGTGCACAAAGTCACCATTCACTGACAGAACTTTACAAAATCCCGAATTACAAGATTTAACAGAGCCAAAAGGTAAGCAAGAGAAAAAAAAGTCCAGAGTCCCAAGTCCTTTCTCCACAATGATGCAGCAGCTGCTCCAATCGCCCAGGAGGTTGCTGCCACACTAGCCCGCTCTTACCACCAACTGCTGCCGTCACACTGTCCCATGGGTTCGTAGTCCCCGGTTGTGACCTGACTCCTTATGTAGATAGTTAAAAGGGCGGGGAGTAGGGAGGGTGGGGGAAAATATAATTACTGCAGAGAGAAAAGAAGAAAAAAAAGAAAGGAAAAGGAAGGGGAACTGGTGAGCAGAGTGGAGCTCCGAATGGAGCAACCTACCCTGCCACCACACTTTAAATTGAATCTAACCAGGGAATTATGTAACTACCATAACTTAGTCCTTTTTTCCGGGACAGTCCCTATGCATCAATGAACTCTGGAATGGCTAAGAGCACACGTGCAGCAGGTGGTGTTTGAGTCAGGTAGATGAATACATTAGAGCTTTGTGCACTTTTTCCTCCCCCATGCCTCTAGTTCACCTCTAAGCATCCAAAGTATCTTAATGTTCCCAGTACCTTACCGAATGAGTCACCACCATTTTGGTTAGTCACAAGGTCTCCCCTAAACCAGCACACATGTTTGACCTATTCAGAGATGCTTTGAGGACATTCATAAAGTCTTTGTGCTGCCTTCCCGATAGTCTCCTGTCACGGATTTGTTCAGAACAGATCAACTGCTTTAAGAGAAACATTCCCTGGAGTTTTTTTTCCTGCTGTGGGCACCTCCAAGGCCCATGTACAGCAGCAACTTCTGGAACTAGGAGCCATTCACTGGCATGTCGACCTTCGCAGTTGCTGCATGGCTGTACAGTTTAGAGGAAGCGCTGTTCGGGAGTCTGCTGTCATGTACATGAGCCATACCACCAATGGAGTGTGCTTTGAGTTGATACATACTTATTGAGAGAAAAATGGATATGAAGTTGAGGCCACAATCAGAATGGCCCACTCCTGCACCTAATTTGGATGCATATTTGAATGACCAGCCAGTCCGTGCTGGACAATTTAACATTGTAGAGGACAGTTGCTGTTGGACCACTTTTCTCACTATGATATTGACAGAATCTTGCAGAAGGCACCACAGGAAGTACATCTCCAGTGCTCTAAGGTGTCCAGGTTGTCTCAGTCACTCAAAGATATAGGCATGGAGTGGAGGTGCCGGTGTTGGACTACGGTGGACAAGGTCAGAAATCACACGACACCAGATTATAGTCCAACAGGTTTCTCTCACTCACTGACACCTGAAGGAACGAGGCTTCGAAAGCCTGTGTTTTCAAATAAACCCGTTGGACTATAACAGATTTCTAACCAAGTATATAGGAACACAGGGATCTCTTTTACTTCTTAAACCTTGACCATGGTCCTAGAGATTGGAGACTGTCATCTTCAGAAATCTTTTCCTTAGTTGGCTGATGGTTAAGCTGGCCCATTAAAGGTGAAGAAGAATTTAATTGTCGAGGTACGCTTCCATCCAGAGAAGGCTCTCGAGGTAAGGCAAATGGTCCATATTTTCCTTATTGAAGTATAGTATTAACCCATATAGTAAATGTTCCTCAATTATTTCCATGATAATAATTCCAAAATCACATCATAAACAGGAGCAAATGAAGAAATAACAGAAACACTGGAATAATCACTGAACACTCAAAGCTTCTCATCAATTAAACAATGGTTGATAGTATACCTCAAAGTTACTTTCCACAGTACCCTCATAGCCTTAATCTTGTTAGTGTCCAGAAATCTATCAATTTCTATCTTCACATGCTCAATAACTGAATGTCCACAGGCCTCTTGGATAGAGCTTCCCAAAGATTCACCACTCTTGCAAATGAAAAATTCCTCCTCATTTCAATCTTGAGTGGCCTTCCCTTTATTCTGGGATTAGTCTGCTGAACCTTTATTGTATTCCTTACCTGACAAGGAGACCAAATGTACTCCATATCCCAACTGAAATTTCACTAAGGCTCTATACAAGTATAATAAGGCACCTTCAATCCTGCATTCAAATCTACTTACGATAAAGGGCAATATACCATTTGCCTTCCTAATTCTTTGGAGCATCTAGATTCTAGATTTTGGTGACATGAACTCGGACACACAAATCCCTTTGGTTGCCAATTCTTCCCTGCCTCCCGATATTTAAGTATTACTCTGCCCTTCTGTTTTTCTACCAAACAGTTGCTACTACTTCATTCTTGTTCACACCATATTCCATCCGCCAGATTTTGCCCATTAAATTAGCCCTAGGAAGCCAACTCAAAGCCTCTTTGCTTTCTCCTTTAGCTCGCATTCCCGTCCAGTTTTCTGTCATCAGAAAGTGTGGATATAGCACATTTGGTGCCACATTCAAATCAGTGAAGTGAAGTGAATTGTCAACAGTTAAGACCCCAGAATTTATCCTTGTGGAGCCCCGCAAGTAAGAATCTGCTATCCTGAGAATGACTAATTTATTTCCACTCTCTGCTTTGGTCTGTTCACTAATTCTCAAATTTTGTTTATCAACTCCTGTGTACGGCCTGATGAAAAGCCTTTCAATATCCAAATATATCACATCCAATGGTCACCCTTTATCTGTGTTAAAAGTGACATTCTCAAAAAAATTCAATAGGTTTGTCAAAAATGATATCCCTTTTATAAACCTACATTAATCTACGGTGCAACATCGAGGGCCGAACGGACTGTACTGCGCTGTAATGTTCTATTAACTGTCAAATCATATTATCTTCTATGACTCTGGCTATCATATCCTTTATAATAGATTTCAACACTTTCCATTCTATTAACACCAAATCCAACAGGTCCGTCATTTCCATTTTTCTGTTCTTTCTTTCCTTCAAAACCCGAAAAACAAAAACAGACTTACCTTGATTAAACCACTCCTCTAAATAGAGAAAAAGCAGCAAAGAAATGTGTAGAGAAGAAAAGGAACAGTCAAATTGGACATGCAAAGTAGCAAAATTCATTAAATTAGAAAACACGATTTCCCTCTTTAGGCAGAGTTATCTGCCTAATGGTGCTCTAATTTTGCCATATGTACTTGCTTTTTGTTAGGTCAGTAAGATTACACAACATATTTCCAATCCCACTTGTGTTTTATCAGTTTAGGAGCTTGATGATCAAGATGAAAATCACGAACAAAACACTATTAAATGAGCATTTTTGTCAACCATTATTAAAACCACAATGGAATATAACATGATCCGGCACTACTCAAAAAACTGTTTGGCCACTGGCCACGATTGCACGTATATACTACAGAGGCAGGCAATGAAAATGATAGGACTTGAGTTAACACAATAGAGAGGGGATTGGGTGGGTGGCTGGCTTGGAATTAATGAAACCTTTCATGTTTCAACATACAATCCTTTTATTAAAAACTTATGAAATTTTTCAGAAGTCAATTCGGATACAACATCGAACTATTCTTCCTTTGCAATAAAAAAATTATCATCCACAATCATATTTTTGTAATTAAACTCTCATTAATTTTACATAAGTGATATGAAGGTGATACTCCCACATTACAGGGTGCAAGTTCATTCTAGATTTTTGCTGTCACAGGATTACCTTTTGCCTTCTTTCCACCAAAGCAACTAGAATCATCTTTCTTCTTCTTCTGAGCACTTCCTGTTCCAGTCTGGTGATCAGTTGCTGGTTCTCTGAATTTATCAGCTCCTGGTACTTCTCTGTGCACTTGATAGGAGAGGTTTCTCATAATGCACACACAATTCTCAACTGACTATTAAACAAAGACAATTAAATTTCCGTCAGAAACAAAGCAGTACGTTTCAACGGGATTGACACCGCAATAACTATTCCCTTATAGAACCTTCATTACTTAAACAAAAAACAAACTTATCTTTCCAACAATCTCTGCTTTAGTCAATCCAGTTCCGCAGGTTAAGGCCAGCACCAAACATTCCACACCACCCAGTAACCTTGGACATATAATTTTGTGAAATAAATATTAGGTAACTAATTCTGTATGCTTTGTTTATTAGGCAGATGAGACCACACTTCCAGTGCGGATGAAAATGGACTAATCTTTCTCAAGATTATAACTATTCTACTGAAAGGAAAAATTGGCTTGACTGAATGGCTTCTGGTCATGGCCACTTAAGAGGTTTCCTTTCCAATAAAAATGCTTAATCACTTATGCCTTTCACCGGTACTCTGACTGTTATCTCATTTCCACCGAAAATAAAGTCTCGCCCTTTTTCCTTCTTGGAGTGAAGTTGAAGAATCTTCATGCAGACTTCCTGACAAGCATTGCTCGCTCCATTCAATGATCAACATTTTATATGAGCTGGTTGTTTCTTTCCCCCCTTCTGGAAGAATGGAAGACATTTATTTGAGCCTCCAATAGCGGATGCTTTTGGACACCTTTCCACAAAACTTAACTGCGAATAAAAATTCCACGAATGTGCCAACATCAGCTGGGAGTTAGCTGCACACACTGTTGCTTTAATGCTAGAGGTACCATTGGTAACCTATATTTTCTTTTCATGGAATTAGTGCTTTCTTATGTAGTAAGATATTGAGTAATGTCAAAATGTAACAACATGCTTGAGTTCAATTACAACGTTAATTCAAACTATGTTAAGTAACCATCTAAGCAGTCATTGCAAATTCGGTGACTATAATAAATTTCCTTTCTAAAAACTGAAAATTGTGCAATCTTTTTGTTGTAATTTTCCTGCATTGCCATGAGCAGCTTTTCTATAACAGTTTGAAGCTATAATAACAAACTTTTTTGACCCAAACTGACACTTCATTATTCCTGCATAGCCTCAACTTTGCAAAGGTAGCATTGAATTAGTTGAATACTATGTCATTCCACTGCACCAACTATAACATTTTCTCAATAATCTGTCCTGTTGTCCTGAAGGTAGTGATGTATCCTGAGGCACAATCCCATCAATATCTTCTCACTCAACACATTTAGGCCATTCAAGACTGATAAATCTTATCAGTGTTGAAAGGATATTGCACTCTAAGGCTTCACACGCAGACTCACACAACATACAATAAATTTCTCTCCTACTCTGTTTTGCTTACCTTTGATCATAGGGTCAGTTTCTTTTGATATCGACTTTTTATTTTCAAAAAGGGATTCAAGCTGTTCCCAAATTGATGTAAAGAAATTTGAAAACTAGAAGTATTTTAATGGAGGCTGCAAATCTCCAGTTGCCTAGTCATCTCTACAAGATAACAAACCTTCAGTATGAATAATGGAAAAATCAATCAAACAACAGCCTACAAGCAGAGGACTGCTAACATTATGGTAGTTCCACTTTGGGATTCCTGTTTATTCATGGAAGCAGCTACATTCCAGACCAAAGAAGGCTGAAATAATTGTCTTGTTCATCTAAGTAATGACTATGAAAACTTTGAAAGGCAAGCACAACCATCATGTGTTAATGAAGTTGATTGATATTTAACATCTGAGTGCATGATTTTGAGTTCCATTACATTGTGATGAATTCCTTCGTTGTGTCAACTTGTGCTCCAGGAGCCAATATACTGAATACTGTCAACATTTAGGGCCACAGACAGTTCCAATGTTGCTGCATATGACTGTTCCAAAAAATTAATTGCATGCAACTTTATCTAGTAGCGGTGAATGGGCTTTGGCAAGGATCTCAATTGATCACGGAGGATCGTTTGGAAGATGAAGTTCAAAGCTGACACGTAAGGAGACTAGAAGACTGTGCAAAAGAGAAAGAGAGAAAGGAAGAGTAAAGCAGACTTTGTGCTAACACAGATTGCTGTTAGGTCTGCTTGTACTGAATTGCTAGTTAGACAACTGAACTGCATGGGTTCTGTACAGTTGGTACTCAGAGAAATCTTAGGAGCTGTGAAGGGCTCAAAAGAAACTAGTGAATAAATTAATAATTCAGTACAACAGGGAATAGGAATTTGAAGTCCAGAGGCAGTACGTTCTTTGTGCAACTGGGCACGACTGAAGTCAGGAAACATCCAAGGGCTGGACTAGCTGGGTAAAACTCGCTGTTTGTGCAATGTTGGAGTTGTAAATGCGACGAAGTGCAGTTTCCAAGAACTCAGGGGAGCGTACTCCCAGAAATGGAAGATGACCCACCATAATGTGAACAGTCACTTAAGTGGCTCATGACAGAGCAGCATTTGAGGGAGTTTCAAGAGGGAAGAAATGGGTTTTAATGGAATTTAGTAATCTGCATTGTCAATGATGTCTGGGGTGATTACTGAGAAATCTGTGGGATCCATTTGATCGCATTTACTATTTGTTGTGTTCTGTGGAGTGTTTGGCCATCATTTTTCTGTTCGTCATTTGCCTCACGCTAAGGGTGGGATATTACAGTACAAGTTATATCCATCTTTGCACAGTCAAATCCTTTTCAGAAAATCTTTTTCAGAATTCTTTGAATATTTGTTTGAGTTTCATTTGTAGTAAACTAGTGATCCTTTGTTGACAAAAAGAAACAGTTGTTTTTAGCACTAAATCAGATATGATCTGAAATCTATATATCAACCATATCACCATGCTGGTTAAATTTAAAATTTGTTATGATCTGTGGAGAAACAAACTAGAAAAGGAATCTGTGCAACTTCCCAAAACTTGTAACAATGTTAATATTTGATCATAAATATAGTCTTGCTTAAAGAAAAGGTGCAGAAACTTCAGCTCCAGAGCCAGCCTCAGCCATTAAACCATTGTGAAGACAGACCTGTAGAGACTGAGGCAATTCATCCTATTTGTTTTTACATTGTTTACTTGCTAATTTGTGCTTTTTGAATTTTGGGAAAAAAAAATTTAGGAAAGGCCCTCTACCACAATCTTGTCTCACTGGTACACAAACAATTGATTAACGTCAAATATTTAAATTTTAGTCTTACTGTAAAAAGATGTTTTGTCAAAGCTTTTGGTCTAGCACACAGAGCAATAAAGACGAAGCAACATTTATATTTATAGACGAGAGTGCGGACTGGTTGGCAAATGGACTGACTGTACAAGCACGGCTATGGAAAATGCAATGAGAACTGACAGTTAAATGCCAAGTGTCGTTTAAATTTTAAACCAGGCAGGTTGACTGTGACTGGTCAAGACATCATCATAAGAAATGAATCATAGAATAGCTGTCACCTATTTTGTTACATTGAATCAGACATAATACATGTTCTCTCTGCAAAGAGCAGGGCTTTGTGTATTAATATCTGCAAGGCTGACTGATAATTCTAAAGTGGTCATCAACATAATTCTTTGCACATTCTGGAATATCTGACAAATATTGTTCAATCACAGAATCACATTCAATGCTGTCCATTGTGTTGAGTTTTTCAAATGCAGCTGCTAGAGTTGGTCGGTTCCTTGAGAGTTGCAAACAGATGAAGGAATATGATCTGTCAATTTTTGGGACATACAGTCGACGTACCTAGCATCATACTGGCACTTAAATTTGCACACTACATTATTCGTTTATCTGACAGGCCGAACATCTTTTTGTCTGATGGCAGCATCCACAGGGGACATGCAGACAAATTTACTAGTTAATCCAATGTGCAATTAACTGTCATCATTACTTGCAGTCTCCATGGCAAAGCCTCTACCAAACTCCACTTGTCAATCAACACTCTCCTTGCATACAGTATAATACTGTGTTCCCTTTACTTTGGTATTTCTTGGAAATTGTCATGATGAGTGCATGACAAAAAGCTTTGACAAAATGTCCTTTTCAGCAACAGTCAAGTTCTATACTAACAAATGACAATTTGAATTTTATACAAACTAAGGGACTATGGATTTAGATTTTAAGGTTCTATGTTAAACATTACACAACCCAACACGATGAAAAGGTTCTGGACCTCTCTGTCTCCATATCGGGCAACCACCTCGAAACCGATATTCATTTCAAGCCCACCGACTCCCACAGCTACCTAGAATACTCCTCCTCCCACCCACCTTCCTGCAAAAATGCTATCCCCGATTCCCAATTCCTTCGCCTCCGCCGCATCTGCTCCCAGGATGAGGCATTCCACTCCCGTACATCTCAGTTGTCCTCGTTTTTCAAGGACCGTAACTTCCCCTCCTCGGTGGTCGAGAACGCCCTCAACCGTGTCTCCCACATCTCCCGCACCTCATCCCTCACACCCCGTCCACGCAATAAAAACCAAAAAAGAATCCCCCTCGTCCTCACGTACCACCCCACCAACCTCCGGATCCAACGCATCATCCTCCGACACTTCCGCCATCTGCAATCCGACCCCACCACCAAAGACATCTTTCCCTCCCCACCCTTATCTGCTTTCCGGAGGGACCACTCTCTCCGTGACTCCCTTGTCCGCTCCACACTCCCCTCCAGCTCCACCACACCCGGCACTTTTCCCTGCAACCGCAGGAAGTGCTACACCTGCCCCCATA